ACATGGGAGCACCGCTGATAGAAACCATTTCAACACAAATGTCAGAAAGTCGAAATGTACTCTTTCTATGGTGCACTCACTGACGTGGCCCAAGCAGTGCTATAACCAGGGAATGGCTCACCCGGCCTGTCTCCTATGCCCCAAAATTTTTCCCAGTGCAGAGAGAAAAATGACCATTTCAAGTAAATTCTCTGCCACAACTACGAAAAAAACATTTCAACTTATAGGCTTCTAAACCCATGAAATAACTAAACAACCTTCGTCTCGATGAGGCGACGACTGGTCTCGCACATCTTGTCCACCAAAAGGTAATCAACTGCAAGGAAATTTAAAATTTGAGGTGGGTATCTAAACTGGTAGATCGAAGTGCGACCGCACCGTTGCTACGATTCTGCACGAAGACAGAATCTGACTGCAATAGGAATTTCCACACCTAACCTCAAGTGCACGTTACCTAAAATATTGCAGTCAACTAAAGCTTCAAAATTATTGCGAGAGAAACATTAAACTAAACAACGTGTTTAGTGAACAAGTACATAAGAAAAACATACAACAGCGGTGGCAGTTTTTTAGGGCGAATGCCTTCCAGTATATGTTGCGATACTCGATACTGAACACAAGCGTGGTGCTTGACGCACAGGCCTGCGTAAGCGCTGTCTGTAGATACGTGGAATCCTGTGGTACAAATTATTCTAGGAGAGGAGAAGCCCTGATATTCCCGAAAGAAATCACCCATGCACATCTCAACCTTATAATGCATATGGTGTTTTAATTTCTTCTCAAAATCACATGGTTATGCATCAATGACTTTGTTGTATTAAAACAGAATAGTGTTCTTAGTTTTCACACCTGTCGGGATGCGGCTGTTGTTGCCACGAATGAAATCCATCATTGGGGTTAGCAGCACGACAGAGACCTTTTCACTCCTCTCGCATTGCTATACGACCTAGCGTGTTATTGTGCAGTAGCAACAGTACACTTCTTATTGTTTTACCTGAAATATTACTAAATCTGTTCTCTTTGTTGATCTGAAGCTTGAGACAAGCAAAAAGCTAATGGAAACACTAAAACAGCGCACAAAGCGAGCGCATCATTATGTGGGCGCGCCGTGGCTGGCATCGAAGAGTTCATGCCGTGACGTCATCCGCCAGGCGGCACCACTCCAACTTTTCGGGGCTAATAAGCGATGAAACTTGTGAATGGCTTGTCATTTTTTTTTCACCATGGCGCCCCAGCCCTCCATTTCCTTGTTTTTGGTGCTGTCACCATTGGCAACTCGGATGTGTATTTGAAAAAGGGCTTCTTTTAGAGGTGACGCGTATTGTGGTGCTGGTGTGGTACTTGTGGCCTCTGTAAGCTTTTATATACCCTGGTATTCGCGCTGTCTCACCTTATACTCCGCCCCCCCACCCCCCCCCCGCTTTTTGCAATGCTTTCCCTCCTGCCTAGACACATGGATACACAGTAAAAACAGCGCAAAAACAGTGCAAAAACAATGACAAGGCAGTTGAAATAAGACTAGGGTTGTTTTGTTTTGTCCTAGCTCATGTGGGCAAAGGTGCCCACATGGATGCCTTTACCTGAAATTGTCTGCGAACATTCGCAGGTCAGCCCAGCACACTGTCTTGCCTACAGTCTCTGTGCCCTCAAAAGAGAGAGAGAGAGAAAAAAATGTGAAAGCACTGGTTCAGTAGGCCAGCAGAAGCCGGAAAGGCCATGTAATTATGGTCATGGTGACGCCTTTCCAAGTGCCCACGCGAGGATTCGCATCGAACAAAATCCATGTCGCTCTGTTCTAGGGTCGAGATATGTCACCAGGCCTTTGTAATCGCTCGACCTTGGTTATGTGTTATGCATACTTTTTCAGTTCCTAATGCATCTGATGACATCAGGCTAATAGGGCGTTCATTATTAACTCAATAAAACCATCGAGATGCTTTTGCAACGTTGAGGAACTGCAGAAATGGAATTGAACTGCCTGGATATTTTTGAAGTGAGAATGGGTCAAGTTTTCTTATTCCGAGGAATTGAAAGGAATGCAATCGCAGCAAGTTCCAATACCCCGAAACTGAATTGAAATGGAATGGAGGTGCTCATACTGCAACACTGTTGTGCACTGGCCATTTATTTCTTTCCTAAAATTCTTTTATTTTTATTTTTGCAAAAAGATGTCACACATGTATTCTCTTTGATGCAATTTCTCCTCACATTGATCACTCATGTGCTCAGGCCACTTGTCAATAGAAACAATCTCTAATGCCATACATACTCGCCGTACTCGGCGATAACTTATATTGACATTAGAGCAAAGGTTACAGAGCCGAATCTTCCACATATTCGTGTTGCACCGCATGTAGGATGGCAGCTTGTGGCTGATTTCGGTTTAGCTCGCTCGTATTGTTAACACATATAGAAGATTATATATACAAAAACATGAATAGGAGACACATTTCGATTGTTCAATGTAAATTTTAGTGCCATATTACAAGCCAGCCTCCTTTGAAGCTGCTTGCTGCTCTCATTCGTGCCCACTTCATGATGCTCCTTTTTTGTTTCTTTTATTGATGGGCTCATGAAAAAGAACAAAAATTGACGAGCCCACCTATCATCCGCAAGCCAGCGTGCCCTCGGATGCGACTCCACTTCTCATTTTCCATATGTGGGTGTCACTTTCCAGCATGCTCCAGTCTAATTTTCATGGTTGGGCTTTAAACTTTTCACATGACGCTCTGTACAAATTTTTCCACCATGCCCACTACGTTATAAATGCTATGTTTCTATTGCAAAGTGGGCATTCGAAAATGGTGGTGCTGTCTTAGGAATGAAAAAAGAAAAAGGGCATTTTGGCAAAGGGACAATAACTGTATCGTACTTACGACTTCTTGCAACTGAATTTGTCTCAAAAGCAACATTTATTTAAGCAAGTAAATTATCAGTAAACGCAAATACTATTTCTTGGTGTGGTGGCAAGCATGTGAAACTTGGTTCAGGAGCTTCCAGAGTGATGTTGAGAAAAGCTGTTGCTGAGTAAATAATTTGCTAACTGCCATATATATGCTTCTCGCAAGCCAGATGCTTTGTCTGACTTTGTGTGTAACTAATTGAAAGCGCTTTAAGATGAGTCATTTATGATCAAGCTTGAAACAGGCTTTTTTGTACTCAATCTAGATGACAAATCTTTTAAATAGCATTTGAATTGCATAATTATCAGGTTCTCATGTTTCATGGTTGTTAGCTCCAGGTCGCAGTCAGAGCTGTGAAAGGGTGACTCACGATCACACTATCTGTGACTTTTTTCTCAATCATGGCCAAGTTTTAAAATTGTATATCAACTAGCCCCCATTACAGCCTTATTAGCATTGTGGATGTTGTTGGCAGAGCTTCTGAACAGTATTTTTTATACTAAAATTTGTTTCATGACAGGCACTTGAGCTGCACTATACAGACAAATGCTGACATATCTTCCCTAAATGCAGTCGAACCCACTTATAGTGATCCCTGATATCAATCTATTGGTTATAACTACCAAATTTTAGAGCAGTTAAAATTTTTTACACTAGTTGAAATTGCATCCACATCACTTATAGCGAACATTTTTCGAAACCTTCTGGTTTCTTCTGATCACAGTCATTTTTGAACACTTCTGATCACAGTCATTTGTAGATATCTGCGCAGAAACCACGCAGAGTGACGATGGTACAAGCACGTCATGCTGTCGCTCGAGAGTTCGCTGCGGCTGCCTCGTGCAAAGCTGCTTGCACATTGCTTGGAAAATGCGTGTCTACTTAGTGTTGAACTAGCAGGCTATTCGCAGCATGTGAGCCCGAACCAGAGTGAAGCATGCACGATGAATGCACAAGCACGTGCCTATATTAGACTGCGAATGGCCCAGCCTGCGATAGCGAGAGCCGAGTAAGCATGCATGCAGCACGTAACTAGCCAGGGATGATTGGTTGCACATGTCATTACTGCGCTTCATAGGACGACATGAGTTCATTGTAAATGTGATATTACTCACTTATGAGCTCCAAGCAGGTGCTGCTAATTAATGCATGAAAAGGCCTAATTTGTTACGGAAGAGGGGTTGTTCACACTTTTAAAGAAAAATACACAGAAAAAATAAACGCCTTGATTTCCAAGGGCAGTTTTTTAAGTGGGAGTTCATATACAATTAACTATTGATATAGTGACCGCTTCACGGCACATTTAAATTCTTTATAAATGAGTTTGTCTGTATTGTTCTGACATTGTTGTGAAAAGCTTTCACAATCTTTTGTGGTTTTAGATACAGGGATGCTATAGTTCACTTGTGTAGTGAGAAAGGGGGAGATGTGAAAACGTCGTGAAGGCGGCAGACGGAGCCGTGCCAATGTCGCCACTATTCGTAGGGCTAATGCGGAGCGGTGGCAGCTGCCAATGTCAGACACAACAGGTGCGTGAAGTCGTTCTGTTGCTCGCGCAGCTCGAGCCAAGCACGAGCTGTGCGAGAGGGGCGGCACAGTGGCTAAAAAATGACGATAATGAATGACGATGATGATGACACTACAACTTGTGAGCTGGTTGTCATCTTCTCCCCGAATGTTTGTAAAGTTTCCTGAAAAAGTCGGTCAAAACATGTAAAAAATATGGAGAAGTTTGTCAAAAGCTCATTATTCTTAGTGTATAACAAATCTATTCGTTGTGTTATCAGGCTGAGCATTTAAAAATACCGAGTGCATAAAGGCTTTGTGGCCCTTTCTACAAAGGTTATGTTTTAGAAGAAAGAGAAAAAAAACAAAGGTAGACAGATTAGTGTGAATGTTTGTGCTAATGTCCGCATCTGCACTCTAGTTTCGTAGCATGTTCTTAACATTGTCAGTTCCTTCAATATGTTTTGGTGGCATTTGGTTCGAACCATGCAGAACATACGTTTGTAGCTTAACAACTAGGATACTGTGAAGGATTTTTGCAGCACAAAAGGTGTGTTGTGCTTTGCATGACTTAATCGTGCCAAGCTGTACATGGGAGTGGCCGTCATATTCTTGAAGGTGGAGGCTACAGCCCTGGCCATGCAGTTTTCCTACCTGGGCCTGGTGCTGAATCTTGCCAAACTGTACATGGGAGTGGCCGTCATATTCTTGAAGGGGGAGGCTACAGCCCTGGCCATGCAGTTTTCCTGCCTGGGCCTGGTGCTGAATCTTACCAAGCTGTACATGGGAGGGTCCGTTCTATTCTTGAAGGTGGAGGCTGCAGCCCTGGCCATGCAGTTTTCCTGCCTGGGCCTGGTGCTGAATCTTACCAAGCTGTACATTGAAGTGGCCATCATATTATTGATGGTGGAGGCTGCAGCCCTGGCCATGCAGTGATCCTTCCTGGGCCTGGCGCTGTGTTCAACCCCAAGGCCAACATTGCTGGCAGTGGTGTCAATGAAAGATATGGACCTGTAGTCTTCAGCTGGCCTAGCATTATTCGAGACGTGTGGGCCTCTAACATTGAGGAAGCGTTCCAGGTCATCAGGCAAGTTGTCCAGCGGTATAACTATGTTGCCATGGACCCAGAGTTTCCTGGAATCGTGGCACGTCCCATCGGGGTGTTTCGCAGTGCCGCGGACTACCAGTATCAACTGCTGCGATGTAACGTAGACCTGCTCAAGATCATCCAGCTCGGTCTTACATTTCTTGACGAAGCTGGCAACCCAGCCCCAGACTGCTGCACCTGGCAGTTCAACTTCAAATTCAATGTGAAAGCAGACATGCATGCAGAAGACTCGATTCAGCTGCTAATCAACTCGGGCACACAGTTTGCGAAGCGCAGTGTAGAAGGCATTGACCCGTATGAATTTGGACAGCTTCTCACAACTTCTGGTGTCGTCTACTCTGAAAATGTCTGGTGGCTCACTTTTCATGGTGGGTATGACTTTGGCTATCTGATGAAATTGTTAACAGACATGAAGGTGACGCTGAGTTTTTTGAACTGCGGCAGATCATGTTCCCAAACATATATGATCTCAAGTTTCTCATGAGGGGCTGCAATTCCCTCCGAGGAGGCTTACAGGAACTGGCCAATCAACTTCACGTAGAACGTGTTGGACAACAACATCAGGCAGACAGTGACAGCTTGCTTACAGCGGTAGCCTTTTTTAAGATGCGGCAAGTGTTCTTCAGTGACCAGATTGACGATGCCAGGTACTGTGGAGGAATCTATGGCCTGGGTCCAGCATTCGACTCAACCGGTAGCTTTCGCACTACTGAAAGCAATCCCCTGCCTCCGCCTGTGATCAGAAAAAGTTTGTTTTGATGGCCTTCCTTGGTGCTTCCCACCAGTGCACCTGCTTCTCCTCAAGAGAGCCCAGCTGTGCTTTGCTGACTCTGTATAATCAGGACTACCGGTGTGTGTGATGTGCCTTGCCATAAGGTCTGCTCTCACAGTTGCTCCACAGACTCTGCCTGTGTCCCTTCACACTTTCTCACACACTGTACCACTTTCCCGGTGACCTAATCTCTGCTCTCTATATTTGACGCTCATCAGGAAAAAAATTTTGTTCCTCGCACACTGCTTTCTTTTAATATGGTAGGAAAGTCAAGCATGGTCCTGAGTAGTGACAAATGTTTGCAGCAATAAATCTTGGAGGGCTTGTTAGAGCACTGCATGTGCCACAATTCTTTGCTTGAGCTTGGACAACCCTGCTGGTCATAAGTCAGGTGCTACCGAGGCCCACACTTTAACTGAACCAAACTGGCCTCTACCAATACGATGAGAGTAGTCATTAAGAGTGTTTTTAAAGGATACCGAAGAAAAGTTTTGTTAAGATTTTCAGCCTCATTGAAAAATTGAGTACTGAAATCAATAGATGCAACCTTCATTTCAAGCAGAAACTAAAGGAAAATAGTGAGTTTAGTATACAGTGTAAAACAGTCTAGAAGCTGCGCCATGAACTAGAGGAGGCGACTCTACTCACTGGAAACGGCCAATCGAACAATGTCTGGTGTTCTCCCCCTCTTAGGGTTCCTAGAACCACAATGACAGCGAGCAGTACTTCTCGTTGGGGTAAAGTAGATAAGCACGAGGGATTTTGTGAAAGGAAGAGTGGATTGATAGGTAAGGGGCAGAAAGGGAGGAGGAGGACAGAAACACAAGCACGCTGCATGTGCTGGCGCTTGTGACGTCATGGTTCAGCTCGTGCTCGTGAGCAGCCACCGTGAATCGACAAATCATCAAAAATATAGCAACTGTTAAAAATACATAAAATCAACTCTTCTAGTTGGAACGGTGGTGCCTTCCAAGTCGAATTTTAATGTATTTGCAAGTTTTTTCAATGCATTTGCCAAGTTTTGTTCAGTATCCCATCAAACAGAATTTTTTATTTGTGTAATCTGTCCTCACTGTAGTAAAAAGTCACCATAGCATAAAACCACAATATGAGGGCCAACTCAGTTTATAGAATTTCATGTAACATGGCAAAAAAGTGAAATGACACCAGGGCTTCCCACCCATCAGAAAGGTTCCGAGCATACCATAATTCTCCGTCATCAACCGGAGTATCAACGAAGTGCACATAATGTCTAACAGATATGTAATGGGTACTTTGTTTCTTCTCAGAATAATCGATAATGTCGCAGTGGCTATGTGCCTACTTTACAGAATTAAGACTTATGGAGTTGTGGGTACATCACAACTGTCCTTGTAGGTGTTTTGTGCCAAGAGAGGTTAGGATGGGCTTTATAAATCTGCTCCTGCAGTTTTCCTTGAAACTGAGCAACATGTTTCATGCAGGCATCTGATGTTTATTTTGTGACACTTCTCATTTCTTTCATGACGCGAAAGCCTCAAGGAAGCGGGTGGGGGGTCACGTTGAAGAACATCAGATGGTTGAAGTTTCCAGACCCCTCCTCTACAGTGTATATTAAAATCACATCACGATTTTGACATTTAAATACCAAGAAATTATTGTTCATTACTCCTTTGTGCCATACTGCCATGATTTAAAAAATTACATCTTTACTGTAATGCTGTATATATAACTAGCCCATTCGTAACTGTTAGAATCGTGATTAACCTTTACCGACAAATAAAAAAAAGTGAATCGTGGCCACTTGGGAGTGCTGTCATGGAGTGATTACACTGCGATTTTATTTTTTATGCCTTTCACAGCCCTTAGTCATCAGCATTGGTCAAAATATCTAAGCCATAGCGGTTGACCAACTGATAGAAGTGCAGCAATTATTTCATACTGTTCCAAAAGCGAAATGCTGCGCGGAGCTGCGAGTTTTCTTGATAGCTGCTCAGAATGTGCTCCGTAAAGGCACTGGGAAAATTTGGACAAAGAGCTTTCAGCGTTCGACCAACACGCAAATTCTAAGAAAACTCAAAATAATCTGTGCTATCACTCTAGTAAGAAAGTATGCAGCGCTATGGGCTCTGATCTCAGTTATGCAACAAGAACTGGCATATGAAGCCCATAGGTCAATTAACAGGTTCCCCCTTCTCTTGTTTCCTCCAACCTGACATACAGGCTATTTTGGCGAATTGTGAAAATGATAGAGATCTCATACCTATTATCAACTAACTGCTGCTTTGGCAACGGGTATACAACTGTGGTTACCTTTATGATGCAGTACTCTGCTTTACTAGTGTGATCTCATTTCTGCAGCATGTACTTACTTGTATTTAAGTATAAAGCTTGTTTCATGGCACATTTGGCTAGCAACCATCTTTTTAATTGTTTGTTTTTTACAATTTACATTGATAATTGTCTGTGATACACATTTCGTAGTAAATACCAATATTTATAAGATTATTCGGTGATGCTTTGAACTTCAGGAGTTGTGTGACATATTTTGCCATGTGTTCCCAAGAATGCCAATCTCTAAAGTAGTATTTTTGGTGCTCTAGAAACGGTGCGGCACGAAAGTGGTACTTTTCTGGCTCTGAAATCTGCTCCCAAAAGTAAAAAGTCGCATCTATCACTGTTGATGGCAGATAGCTAATGGTGGCAAAACGCATTAAAAAAGTCGGAATATAATTAGAATTGCTCTCTTATAGCACCCTAGGCTCAGCTTCACCCATCTGGGTGAACTGTTTGGCGTGACTGTGACCCAGGTTGTAATCAGAAATATGAACATACCATTACTCCCTGAACAATCACCCAACAATTACCTACTAAACTGAACTCTAGCAGGTATGGGGCAAACCCTCTACTCACCACTGTTCCACTAGAAACAAAAAAAGCAAATGAATAAACTGATCAGTGTACAAAGACAAAAACAAATAAGTGAATATGTGCGTAAATAAGTCAACGAATATAATTTAACCCCACATCGCTCAACATGTCATTATTGATAAGTGAATTCAAACGCCCCTTTCATGGAAGAGATCGAAACTGAATCACTGAAGGCTGCTGTATAGCGCTCTTCACAAGTTGGAAAGTGTTTTAATTTGAAGGTACTTTCAATTCTTACCATCAGAGGTCTGCGAGGTGAGTTGGAAAAATGGCGAGCGCCAGTAGCCCACACACCAGAATTATATTCTAGGCACTATACCGAAATACCAAGACAAAGTTTTTATTCCAAAAAAACGTAAGCAATTGTTCATTTATGACAGAGAAAGTATCGATACTATTCTGTGTACGTTTTTGGATCTTTTGACGGTATTGTCTGGCCTACACTGTAGTTCTGTGCTGAGTGATGGTGTCGCAAATTGATGTGTATCATATATGGTACAGTGAGCTTTTGTGAAGCATTCTTTCATGCCACGAGTTTCTTGCCCTGGTGACTCGTGTACCTTGATCGCGATATGCTATTTTTCTACCCTTTCATTTCGAACATAATATACTTCTCTGCACAAGGCGAACTAATACAACTTGATCGCACAGTTACATTAGTTGTATTTAAATTTCATTGATGTTCTCAAATGCACAAACTGCGCTTTGCCACGGATGTTCACCATTGATGTCAGTTTGTTTTTGTTAGATTTAGGTGGTGCCATGGATGATATCCTGGCACGTGTTATTCTAGGGGATGATGTAAATCACATCAATCACATTTAACCCCCGAATGCAGAGATGTTACTTGACTCGTACTTGACTCGTTCTTGACTCAAGACAGTCTTGCCGGTCGCCATAAATCGTTCTCCAACTTGCGGATGACTTGAAGGCGACTTGGCTCGGTCGAAGTCAGGACAAGTTTCAAGTCAGCTGCGGGGCTAGCTTGAAAGCGACTTCACGCGTTATTCGAACATGGCCACCTCTCGAATGGACGTCGCGTGAAAGGTGGCCGCTTTTGAGTTTGCTTGCCTTGCCATAAGCGTAGCATTTTTTGAGGCGCACTGCCTGCCGAAGATTTTTGGAACCGCTTTACGTGACCAAGGAAATTCGATGGAGTTGTATGACGAGCAACAATTCCACGCTAGGTATAGATTCATGAATAACGCCGTGGGGCAGCTGCTCGTTATGTTGCCGCTCCGTGAAAGTGGGGACAACCGAAGACAGCCTGTGCATCCAGTGTTACAGCTACTGATGGCTCTCAGGTTTTACAGCGCTGGCACATTCCAACCACTCACCGGAAATTTCGTCCGCATTCCGTAGTCGACAGTGTGCCGTACAGTCGGAAAAGTTACGCTACTCATCGCAAAGCACCTGTACGCGATTCTGGTGCGCTTTCCGCAGCTCGCGGACTGTTATAAAGTGGCTGAGTTCTCTTGCGTTACAAGTTGTGTCTACTACACACACGTGCGTATTAATAGCCCCGGTGTCGACAACGCCGAAGTTTTCCGTAACCGCAAAGGCTATTCTTTCTATAACACGACGACATTTTCCGTCTCTTTCGGTAAAAAAAAAAGACTCGGTGCTGTGTCCCTGTGCCTCGTCTATCCTTTTGTCCCGTCTAGGGCGCTGTTTCTCGCTCAGAAAGGCATCGCTTGTAGCACAACGCTACGTAAAATTACACACACATAAGAAAGAGGTGCCCCTATCACGGTTTTTTTTATCCGTGTCACCATCATGCAGCGATACATTGCTGCACCCCACGAGACAGAATTCTGCTGAGGGCAATGTCCTGACTCCTGCTTTTTCTCTTGTTTACCAAGCTCAACAAAAGGATACGAATCACATTTGTTTCCAGAACTTGTTTTTTTTTCATAATAATTGCGACCTAGCCCATTACAAGCATGCACACAGGCGAAGAGAAAGGCAAATACCGTGAAAATCGCGTCACCCCGTGAGCCAGGTAAGCACAAATACATGCCATGGCGTTCGATTGAAAAAAAAAACGACGGAAGAACCCAACGTGATGCTTGTTTCG